CTCAAGGCTTGACAATCCTGACCTGAGACAAGACATCCTTCATTACCGGTGGTGGCCAGACCCCTGACCTGCAACAGATCCTCAGTAGGTGATGGATAAATTAATGCCAATGAAATCCATGTAGCTAATTCTATTAGAGATAGACCATAGTCCACATATAAGACTAAGATTGGACCTGGATGCATCAAAGCTCCAAGAGAAGTTTAGGAATTCAGGGGGTTAATTCAGTAAAGGTCCTTTATGTGTTTCATCCACATAGTAGGTAATACAGTGAACCTTGACATCAAACTTTGTTAAAGACACACTTCAATAACATCCTATTAAACCACTTTTGATAATACCTCTGAATGGGACTCCTTAAGTAATCTAAATCATTCATTAATGACACCTAAACATGTGTCATCCTTCTAAATGCAGAGTGAGTGGACAAAACCTCTGTTTTCAGAGCTCTACCACTGCCTTTGAAAACAGGCAAACCAGGATCACAGAAAAAATGGCACAGGCCTTGACACACCATGAAATCAAACTATTGCTCAGCCAAAAACTCATGAATTCACCTAATTGCCTAACAGGAATTCAGCCTCTCACCCTCTTTGCTCTACATTCACAGCCTTTAGTCCACCACAGACAAATCCAACTGCTGACCATATGTCAAGCACAAGTGAAAAAGCAAGGGACATTCAAGAGAAATTCAGCAATCTGTTAGGGAACCAGAAGTATATCCAAGTCTTTGTCTGGGTAGCTAAACCTCTTCAAGATCGGAGTACAAACTGTTAATTTAAGCAGGCCTGTTTTCAAGGACTATCATCCAAACTGAGGTCCAGTTTTAGAACAGGAGACAGGGAAAGAATGACAAACGCAGGGAAGTGAAGGAATCAGAGCTTAATATGTCAGGCTCTGTCAAATGGAGCAGGTACACAGCAGGAGGATCTAGTATTCAGAGGCACAGTTCTCCAGGGGATTTCATTGAAGAACAAGAAATGGGAAAAGCTACCTTTCAAGACAGACATCACTGAAAGACTCTCCTTAGCGAGAACAAGGATCATAACACGGATGGATGCATAGGAACCTAAAATGGTCTAGTGGGCATAAGCTACACATGGTTGAGTTGAAGTGTCAGTCTTCAGAATCAACTCAAAGATACCATCATTCTTCCTCAGCACATGGGCATTTTGAAAGATATGTGACTCTGCAAAATTAATGCAAACTTCATGTCGACCTCCCCAAACCAGCATTCTCAGGAAGAGCTCCATCAGACAAGACAGGATTAAATGAGTAAGTTCCTCACAAGTACTTCAAATTACAAGTAAATTCATGACCAAAATACCCTCCCAGCCCCTCCATTCCCACCTGTCTACAACACCATATTAAACCCACTCTTGATAATACCTCTGAAGGGGATTCTTCAAGCAATGTAAATCACTCATTCACAACACATATCCACGAATCATCCCTCTAAAGGCAGAGCTATTGGGAAAATGCTCTACTATCAGAGGACTACCCTTGCCTTTCAGGACAGGGAAACCAGGGACACAGAAAAGATGGCACAGGCCTTGGCACCAGGCACAACATCAAACCACTGCTCAGTCGAAAACACATTCATCCTCCAGTTTTCCCAGGAGGAACACAGCCTCTCATCCTCATTGCTCTGCATCCACAGCCTTTACTCACACATTACACGACATAACCTCACCAGATACTTTATACAAGCAAGAACCTTTAATCAAATCTGCAGGCAGGTCAAGGCTGGGAAGAGCTTAGTACGACCATGATGGAACTCTGCATCACAGTCATACAGGAACGTACAGACGGAAAAATGATGTTTCCTGCAGCAGCTGTTAGACACACAATCTCTGAAGCATGTTGCACTTCCATGGGTATTGCTTGCAGACAAAGTCATCACACGATTGTCCTCTCCTTCCTGGATGCAGGCACCTGGTGTGAGTGGGATAGGCCTTGGCACTTGCCAACATGATAACACACCCACACAGGTGGATCATACAACTCCCTTTCCCTGCTTTAGGCCAGTCTCTGGCTGATCTTGTACTGACTTTACATCATCAGTACGTGGCAAGCAAGAGCACTGATTCTAGTGACATTTTCAGGCACACACGGGCCCACCTTTACCTCATCACAACAAGCAAAGAAGAATTTAACGACCAGCCTCTGGGAACAGTGTGCAACAGGAAAGCAAACTGATGAACCCACAACTTGGCCACAACTTTTTCACCCTGTCCAAATATTACACTTCAAGTAAGCTGCATTTGCAAGCAGGCATCACTGAGACAAAAATCACACACACAGTTTCTCCTGAAAGAAGAATGAAGGTCAAAACATTGATGCATGAAAGAGATTTCTTTGCTCATCACTACTCTAAGAAGTGTAATACCTTCTCAAGTTCACAAGCATTATAAAATGCCATTCATCAAATTATCAGCTCAAAGACACCACCATCCTTCTTCAGCCCCAGGGCAACTCAGCAACAAGCTCAACAGAGATTATGAGATACCAGCAGATATAAAGGCCCACAGTTTGATCCTCAGAAGGAGCAAGGCAAAAAGGTAACACCTGCAAAAGTGAAGTAATCAAAATATACTCTTCAAGGTTACAGCACAGGTATTGAGTAGGCAACTAACAATGCTTTTACTCCTCCCAAAGCTGTCATTGTGGTATTTATAACCAGTACATCTTGAAGCTATTAGTGAAATGGATCATATAAACCTGCAAACCAAGAGAAGGACAACAGCAAAGCTCCAAATAATTACTTTCCTCATTAAGAAAGAAACTCACATTGGGTGATAATGCGAACCCCCTCGAAACACCCACTTTTTTTCACCCTCATCATAGGCAAGCACATTTGCCACTAGCACTTCAAAGAAAAATATCAAGATTCTAAAGGTCAAAGGACAAGCTCTCCACCAGGAAAAACTGTGTGTGTGAAACACAGTAATGATGTAATAATATCTATAGATCAGCTTCTGTTAAGAAGCAGATTCACTGCTCCTGCCTCCTCCACATGTAAACCTGGGCAATGAAACCACGTCCACGTCCTCCCTACGTGTAACACAGATCACGGGTTGAGAAAGCAAGGGAGCAGCAGAGGGAAACGTCGCCGAAACACTCGGCTTCAAAAGAACTCACCGGGAGAGGGGCGGGGTCCGAGGGGTGGGCACCAGCACGGTCCTCCTCTCCGAGCAGCGGGGCGGGCTCGTCGGGCGGCGGCCGGGCCGGCAGGGTGTCGCAGCAGCTGGCGGCCGAGAAGCGGAGGTGGCTCTTGCGCGAGTCGGCCGTGAGAGACACGTCGTGCGAGTAGGAGTGCAGGAAGGCGCGCACGCCGTCGATGCCCACGAAGTGCGTGGCCGGCACGCCGCGCAAGGCGCCGCTGCCCGCCGCCAGCAGCTGCTGCTGCGAGCGCCGCCAGCGCCGCAGGCGCAGCGCCAGCAGCAGCAGCAGGAAGCCGAGGAACAGGCACGACACGGCGGCCACGGCCAGCACCAGCCAGCGCGTCAGGCTGCCGCCCGCCTCGCCCGCCCCCGCCGCCGCCTCCGCCTGCGCCGCGCTGCCCAGCTCGGCCAGCAGCTCGGCCACGCTCTCGGCCAGCACCACGCTCAGCGTGGCCGTGGCCGACAGCGCCGGCCGCCCGTGGTCCTTCACCAGCACCACCAGGCTCTGGCGCGACGCGTCGCGGGCCAGCGGCGAGCGCGCCGTGCGCACCTCGCCGCTGTGCAGCCCCACGCGGAACAGCCCCGGCTCCGTCGCCTTCGCCAGCTCGTACGACAGCCACGCGTTCTGACCCGCGTCCGCGTCCACCGCCACCACCTTGGCCACCAGCGCGCCGGCCTCGCTCGACCGCGACGCCAGCTCCACGCCCGCCCAGCCCGAGCCCGACCCCGACCCTGACGCCGCCGGCGGGTACAGCACCTGCGGCGCGTTGTCGTTCTCGTCCACGATCAGCAGCCGCACCGACACGTTGCTGCTCAGCGTCGGCGAGCCGCCGTCCTCCGCCCAAACCCACAGCCCCACCTCGCGCACCTCCTCGTAGTCAAACGAGCGCAGCGCGTACAGCGCGCCCGTCTCCGCCTGCACCGACACGTACGACGACAGCGGCAAGCCCCGCACACCACCCTCCCCCAGACGGTACCGCACGCGCGCGTTCTCCCCCCAGTCCGCGTCCCGAGCCCGCACCCGCAGCACCAGCGCGCCCGCCACGTTGTTCTCCGGCAGCCGAGCGCTGTAGCGCTCCTGCGCGAACACCGGCGCGTTGTCGTTCACGTCCAGCACCCGCAGCCACAGCACCCTGCTGCTCTGCAGCGCCGGCTGCCCGCCGTCGGCCGCCCGTACCGTCACGTTGTACTCCGACTCCTGCTCCCGGTCCAGCTCTCTCGCCGTCACCACGCGGTAGTAGCTGCTCTGTGCACTCTCCAGGCGGAACGGGACGCCCTTTTCGAGGGAGCAGCGCACCTCGCCATTGGCCTCCGAGTCCTGGTCCTGTACGTGCAGGAGGGCCACCACAGTCCCCGACGGGGCATCCTCAGAAATCTCAGTCAGAGCCGACCTCACCGAAATTTCGGGCACATTATCATTTATATCTGCGACAGTGATAGCGACTTTCGCCGTGTCAAAAAGGTCGCCGTCATCACGTGCCTGCAGCTCCAGTTCGTAGAAGTCACCTTCCTCAAAGTCCAGGCTTCGCAATAGCGTGATCGCTCCTGTCTCAGAGTCCAGATGGAAAATATCCGATGCCATGTCCGTCGCTTTCTTCATCGAATATTTCACGTGCCCGTTCAGACCCTCGTCGGCGTCAGTGGCCGTGACAGTGACGAGCACGGAGCCCACGGGCACGTCCTCTGGCACACGCACCGTGTACTCCGCCTGGCTGAACACGGGCACGTTGTCGTTCGCATCCCGCACCGTCACGCGGATCCGCGCCGTGCCCGTCCGGGACGGATCGCCGCCGTCGCTCGCCCTCAGCACCAGCTCGTGAAACGCCGCCTCCTCCCGGTCCAGCGCCTTCGCCAGCACCAGCTCGGGACGCTGATCCCCGCCGGGGCCCGTCTGCACGGCCAGCGAGAAGTGCTCGTCGCCGCTCAGCTCATAGCTCCGCAAGGAGTTCCGTCCCGAGTCCGGGTCGTGCGCCCTGGGAAGTGTAAACCGCGACCCCGGGGCTGTCATCTCGCTTATTTTCTCTTCCACTTCAATGTCCTTGAAGGTGGGGGAGTTGTCGTTAATGTCCGTGATTTCCACTTCGATTTCATAAACCTTCATTTCCCCCTCCACTATCAGCTCACAGCGCAGCACACATTGCTCCACCAGCCGGCACAGCTGCTCTCTGTCGATCCTCTCGGCCGTCACTAAATGTCCCGTCTTCCCGTGCAGAGAGAAATAATGCCTCCTACCTTCAGAGACAACGCGGACGCCGCCGTCTCGGAGCTCCAGCATCTGCAGTCCCAGGTCCTTGGCCACGTCGCCCACGAACGAGCCCTTGGGCATCTCCTCGGGTACCGAGTAGCGCAGTTGCCCCCACGCCGCCTCCCAGGCCGCCAGCAGGACGCCCCACAGCAGCACTCGCTGCCGCCGGCCCCAGCGCCTCCCTGCCGCGCACATCTCCGCCGCCGCACCGCCGGCACCGCAACACCGCCGGCAGATCCCCGCCGCCGACCGCCGATCCGGCTCCCGCTCCGGCTCCGGGTCGCCTCTTCCGGCTCCTCCGTCTCTGTTTAGCACGGTTCCGCACCGCGGGGACGATCACAGACCGCCCGGCCGCCGACCCAGGAATCCAGCGATCCAGCAATCGAGCCGGGCCGCAGCGGGCGGGGCTGCAGCGCTCCGACCTTCCTCTCGCTCCTCTCGGTCAACAGCGGCGCCCGCAGCCTCCTCCCGGCACTGCACGCACCGAGCGCCGCCCGAACTGCCTTGTCCACGGGCAGCTCGCGGGGAGAGCCCTGAATTCACATCTCATGTAGCCGGGCTTTCCTGCCTTTTTTTTCTCCAGCCTATATCTTCTCTGATCACTATCGATACGAAGGCAGAGTACTCCCGTGTGCTTAGTGTTTCTACCGCACGGGGAAAATGTCTTGTTAATGGTTATCTATATGTAAAGTAAAACGTTTTCTTCCTATTATTTGACGTATAGAATATTGTTCGTACTCCAACAGTTTGTTTGGGGTTATCTTTTGCCGCAGTGCTTGAATGACTGGTACAAGAATAACAAAGGAAAACAAGCACTGTGTAGGAAATGTGCTAACGATACACACAGCCCCGCATCCCGGAGAATAAGAGATATCAGGCTCATTAACCCAACCGGGTAAAACTTTGCTTTAAATACTTCAATTCACACGAAACACGGTCCAAATTAACTACGCCAGGATGATTGATTGAGATCAGACATTTAAAATCGGGTACGGCCGGGTCAACCCACTGGCTTCTGCAAGCTGTAGGGAATTTGCCTTTGCGGGCTCAGCAGGAACAACAGATTCTACATCTCTACCCACCCTAAACTATACGGATCATATGTAGAAATGTAAATACAACTTTTTCGAGTGCCTAATTGCTGTCATGATAAATATTCCCTTCCCGTTTAAAATATGTTCTCAGGATTGGTATGGCTTCTCTTCGTAAAAGGGACAGACAACCCAACTTTTTCTAAGGTGGCACAAGAAACCAAAATCCTTGGAATTGTATTCCACAAGCAACGCAGTCTACCAGGCCAGGAAAAGAAACTGATCGGGAACAGTAAAATAGAGTCATTTACTGCCCAGTATGACAGAAAAACAACAAAAAAAAAAGCAAATAAACAAACCACCAAGCCAAGAAAAATTTTAAAAAAAAGCAAACAAACACATACAGAAACCACCCCGCAACCTGCACAGACCGTTCCCCATTCCTAACACATGGTATTTTCAATAACACCATTGTTGAAGACAAAACCTCTCAACTGAGCCTGAACCTGTTGATTCCCTAGAAGTGCTGCCACTCGCTGACTGGTATGCGTTGAATGGGGATACCTCTTCCCTACTTCATTCCTTAGCAGATTCACCGATCAGTGTTTCTTTAATTTATAATATATATATATATATAAAACCATCCTAATTGTCACAGGAAAATATTTTCATTTTCTTCTAAATAAAGGTGTGAAGAACTGAAGCCTGTTATTAAAGTATTGTTCTAATTCTTGCATTCTTACATTGGCAAGACACATTTTCAACAAAATACTGTAGTACAGAGGTATATCCTAAATTGTGTGGACCATTGATCAGCTTGTGAACATGCTTAACTGTCATTTTGTGTATCTCTTGATACTTGATACATGCTGTCCTGATCTTAGAGGTCTATCCTTTTAAACACACTGATGTAGCAATTATTGCAAAACATTGCTGTGAGAACTAATTCTATATAAACAATATCCAACTGGAAAAACACGGATCGGAAAAGATGCTTAAATAAGGCTTTTAAATACAGAACGCAGCAAATTTAATTTGAGGGTTTGTTTGTTTTACCAATTATACACCTTTACCTTTGTATGAAAGACAGAGCAAAAAGGCAAGAAAAAGAGGGAACTACTACCCAGGATGCAAAATTTAATGCCTTCCACTACTGTGACTATTTCTGCCATTTCTGTAGTGACATTCCCCAGAATGAGACACTCCCTACTATGATCAGGGGTGGAGGCCCGTCTTAGTTCCATTCATGGTGCTACAGGGGTTTGGGAGCCCAATAGTGACAAAATATTACTGAAAAACTTTGAGTCTAGCAATCAACCAGGTCCATGTACATTCTTTCACATCAAATCGGTTAGGAAGGAAAAATCTCAAACAGCAAAGCTCAGCCTTATTATTCCCACTACTGATCCAGCGGATCTCCTTCTGCACAGTAACGATTCTCCTTCAGCTTTAATAGTCAAAACGATGTGTACAACACCTCCCAGTTGAAATTCAGCCTATGACCTGGAGAGAATCAAGAAGTGTCACCTCTCAGTGCTCTTAGAGGATGGAGTGACCCCGTTCTTTCATTCAATCACCGAACTAGAGACCAGCACTCCACAACCAAAACACGAGGGGAAACACAGAGAAAAAGAGGACAACGGTTCGGAAGGGTTCAAGAAAAACAGCTGGAGACTACGGCCTTACTGACCTGCGGTGCGTTGGGGTCGGCAGGCAGCTCTCCCGGGACGGCGCTGCTGCTCGGGCTCGGCTTCTCGCTGGGCTCCACGGCCA